TTGAACCAAGTATAAAGGTCCTATACCCAATTTAAATACCCCAAAAAAATTCCCTAAAAAGTATTGTTTTTTAACCCCATTTTTGCGATTTTTTCAATTTTTACCATAAAAATCATTATTCACTCGATTTGTAACTAGTCATGTTTTGTAAAAAAAATAATTACAAACATTTTTTTCATCTTCCATTTTCGCCTAAAATCAACTCTTGAAAAGTACATACTTAAATAGGAAGAAAAATATGACATTTTTCGAATTTTTTTAACATATTGTGCCGCCAAAAGTTAAGCCCACGTTTTTTTATGCGCATAGAAAAATTTTCATTTCTAGTGATATTTGAAAGCCAAAAAGCCAAAAATCTCCGTGGATATACGATTCACCCAAATATGGCTTTTTGAAACAGATACCTTCTGGACTATTAGGTACAGAAGAAAGATATTTAGAGTTTTTACAAAATGACCGTGTTCCAGCGCTTGCAGTAATTTTTCCTAACGATAATGACCCTGATATTCCTGATGACACCATATGGTTTCAGCAAGACGGTGCACCTCCACACTATGCGCGCCCTGTTCGAGATTTTCTGGACAATTGTTTTCCTAGGAAGTGGATCGGCGGACGAGGACCGATAGAATGGCCCGCGAGATCCCCAGATCTTACACCCTGGACTATTTCTTATGGGGCTACTTAAAGTCCAAAGTGTACGTTAATAGACCACATAATTTAGCAGAACTCCAAAATTGTATTATAGATGAAATACACAGAATTACCCCAGAAATAATTCATAATATGCAAGAAGAATTTCTACACAGACTGGCGTGTTGTCAAGAACTCGGTGGGTGGCAATTCGAACACTTAATTTAGGTAGAAAACTTAATGAATTGTATTTGCTTGACATAGGAATTGTTATTTTTTTAATGAATAAAATTTACGTTTTCTAACATTCAATCGTCATTTACTCGAAAACTTTCCTATGTAAGATGGCAATATTTTAATACTGTCGGATCGACAATGAAACGATATTTCAGAATCAAGAAATAAAATAGGGGGTTGCTATTTAAAAAAAATGTCGATGACGTCATTACTTGAAAATAAATGACGGTTGAAAATCACTTTTTATGCTAAAATATGTATTTTTTAAATTAAAAATCGACCTGTTCGAGGATTTTTCCCAAAAAAAAAATTTTTTTTCGTTTTTACTTAATTTATTCCATACTTTAGGCGCGTACTGTACTATACAAGTATTGGATAAAATATAAAATTGAGCCCTATCTGATCTTTATGTTAAGATTTTCTTACTAATTGTCACTGTCATTTTTTTTATTGTATTTACACACGTGGTTTTTAATTTTGGCAAATATGTAAATTTATTCCAAACGGTCATGTACCCAAGGAAATCCAAATTTGATTATACAGGGTGTTCCAAAACATATGTCTGAAAATGAAGAGTACGAGTCTTTGTTCATTCTAAGAAAAAAAGTTCTTATTAACATGGGTCTGCAAACGCACTGTTTTCGAGAATTATGGTGATAAAAAAAAGTCAGTATTTTGACGATATCTCAGGAACCGTTTGAGATATAGAACTAAAATTTTGTAAATGTGTTATGATTAATATTAGCTACTTTTGAGCGGAAATTCAATCTTTATTCATATGATAGTTGCGGAGATTTTAGGATTGCATTAGGTTATTTTGCCCCGAATTTTTACGACTCTGGTAAAATTGACATTTGAAAATACATTTTAAACCGTGAATATTTTCTACATAAAAAGGTACGCATCATCAAAAGCTCTAACGTGAACCGTTTTCAAGATAAATGGCGTTTTATGAAGGAAAACATGAAAGAAAGTGACAACGTGTTTTGTTGTCGACAAAAACATTTGATTTCCATCTATTTATTAGTAGCAATTGTAGTTAGTTTCCAAGAGTCAATATCGTAGATACTTATTATATTTACTAACTAATTAATTTGCTTATTCTTATTATTTCGTTTGCTTACTGATAAAAAAATGA